GTATGGAATCATACAGTATGTAACTTTTTGAGATTGTTTTTTTCCCACTAAGTGTAATGCCCTGGAGATCCATCCAAGTTGTTATGTGTGTCAATAGTTCATTTCTTTTTATTGCTGAATATTATTTCATGATGTAGATGTAACACAGTGTGTTGAAACATTTATCTATTCTTTATTTTTAATAATACTTTCTGTCTTAAAATCTATTTTGTCTCATATACACTTGGCTATACCAGCTTCCTTTTGGTTAGTGCTTGTACGGTATAACGTATTCTATCCTTTTGCTTTCAAAGTTTCAGCATGCTCATTCTTTAGCATGTAGCTGAATTTTAAAAATCTGATTATATCTTAAAAGATATAGTTAAAACTAGTGAGTTTAGCCCATTTTCAATTATTGTGACTACTAATACATTTGAGCTATGTACTTTCTATTTGTCTTTCTTTTTTGAGGCTTCGCTTTTTGCATTTCTTAGCCTTTTTTTGGATTTTGCTCTTTGTGCAAATATAATGAGAAATAGCTCATTATACACGCTATTTCTATTATTTTAGTGGTCACTCTTGAAGTTTTACCACTTATATCTAACTTAAGTCTGAAGCTAATTAATATATTATTGATACATCAGCAGTAGGTGAGATCCCAGGTGCAATTAATTTGTACTGACCTAAACTTATGTTCTTAGTCAGGCACACTCAAAGTCTGTCTATAATTCTCCTCTTTGTTTAATATTGCAATATCACTCTCAGACCTAGGTATTTTCATATTTTAAATATGAGTTTTCGTGGGAGCATATCAGGCAAATTGCTATTTTCCTTATAAGCAGGGCACAGAGGGAACTATTTTCAAAAAGTCCAAAGAGGGTCAGGATTTTCCAGATCTCCTATTTTGGTTGCCAGTGTTCCCAGTTTCCCTAAAAAAACCTGGTAAGGTGGTGAATTCAACTAATATTACAATTAAGTAATTGACAAGGCTGATTTCTAAACTCTTTCTTCAAGAGGTCTCTAATAACTTTAAGCGGAAAGGGATTCTTGAAGTAGGACTTCCTAATTACTCTCTATATTTTTTTATCTCTTAACATTGAATTCCATGTTTAAGCCTGCTCGTTGTATTCACTGGAAGTTGTTCAGTGTCCTTAGAAACAAATATCTGATCCCACTCAATTCCTCTTCTCCATGAAATTGTTCTATAGGAGCAACTACCTTGTCACCTAGAACCAAGAGTCGGAGAGAAATCACTCAGTTAATTGTAGGCTATTAGTTTTCAATCCCAGATTGTCGAAGGAAGTCTTATTTGCACTTTGCCCATCTCAACGCAAATATCCCACGTTTTCTCGAGACTCTATTGCTTACTGCCCCATTTCTGGTCTTACTCTTAGTCTGTAACCTTTTGCTTAAGCACACACTGGGATTTAAGGAAAGATATTGTGATATGTCTTACAAGTAATGGAAAAGTTGAATAACATGGCCCGATAAAGGGCTGAAATAAATCCAGCTCCAGGGACCCCAAGAGCAAAAATCTGTATCACTTCATCCTTGTGCTCTGCCACTAAAATGACAGACCTGTATTTTCAGTTCTTTCACTTGCACTTATTGCACTTATAAGGTCATGTTCTCAAAAAAAAAAAAAAAAAAAAAAAAAAAAAAAAGACACGACTGCTTCCTGATCCAATTGTTTATCCAAACCTGTAAATTAAAGCAAGAAAGACAAAACTATTCAGTGTAAACACAGTTGTGAGAATTGTCCAATTAACCCATGCCCTGGATACATAATATAAGAGGTAAAAACTATAGTACAGAATGTATAAAGAATGTTTCAGCAGTCACATTTTAGGAATAATAGAACACTGTATGAGTATAGCTGGTGCTCCATTCTTGGTGCCTACTGTTATTATTTTACTAAGTTAAATCTTTCAAAGAACTACTCTTTTAAGTGTCAGCCACCTGGACTATGCTGTTGATCTTCCACATGTGCTGTGATTTACAACACAGAACCCCAGACTTTAGAAAATGAAATATTTGCTTAGTGTGTGATTCTTAGCTCATTCACAAGGCTAGACTCCACATCTCTGTATGGGAATAGGTTTCGCCTGAAGGGGATGGAATTTCCCACTGAAAATCAGAGCAAAGGAAGATGGTTGAATTACCTTAATAGCTGGTATCAAGCCAAGAGACATTGATGCATACATCTTCAATATATGAGCTCAACACCTCTGACCCACCCAGAAGAAGACATCACCTTACCAGGACTGACATCTTTTCAAGTTCTCCTTATTAAGGGTTAAAAAATCTTGGGTCTAGCCTTACTCGGAGTCATCTTGTTGCACAGCAATGATATTCTTTATGAAATGGCCATGGGTTCAAGATCATGTGAGTTACAATGGTCACAGTAAAACTGAGTAAGATGAACATTAGGCCCTAGGGTCCTTCATTAATTTTCTCCTAGAAGAAGAAAAAGAAGAAAGACCATTACCTTCATTATTATGACCACTGACCTCTTCAGAAAAATCTTCAAGTATTACAAGCTGTCAAGCTTATGGTTTTGGATGCAGGTTTTCCAAAATTCTAATTTTGTTTGAAAGCTCAAATTTTATTATTGGTGACAAATATTGTCAGTTGTTTTCCTTGAAGGCTTACTTAATTCATTTTTAAGAAAACATCTGCCAAATACCCAAGTCTGAAAAACCATAGTTTGTCTGCTACTCATTTGTCAAGTAAAAATGATGTTCCATGAAAAAAGCAACGAATTCAGTGCACAACTCAAATGACTGTGCAAATATTTTCCCTCAAAACAACCATTGCACTAAGCTGTGCTGCAGAAGTGCTTTGTGCGTACTTCTGTTTCATCAACACAAAATATTAAAAAGACATGCACCCAAGCATCGGGATTCAACAAAATTTTATAATTTTATTGTAAATAAGGATTCCATTAAAGACATTTAAAAATGAAACCGGATTTTCAAAAAATTGAACATGTGGCTGTAAAGAATATAATCACTACTAGTATAGTTTGGGGACACTGCCTTGATCCATGCTAAGGCACCAGCTGTTTTACTCATCATTGCTTTTGCATCAACAGTCCAAATGTCAATTCAGTGAAAATGGCAAATAACATGTTGATATTGTTTTGAAAATAGTTTTGACCTTACAGTTTCAGAGACCTGCAGTAGTCCATGGACTAGCCATTGAGAACCACTACTATACAATATAATTCCAATTCTATGTAAAAATACAGAGATGTACATAATAAACACTGAAAGAATTTTCACCCAGGTTTAATCGTGTGAACCTTTTTGACTGATGCCACAGGTCTTTACATATGGTGACTGTCTTTTCATACCAATATAGAAGTTTATCGCAATTTTTTGAAGTTTATTTTTCAATTGACAAGTAAAAATTGTATATATTTATGGGGTACAACATGATGTTTTGATTTTATATATAATTGTACATTGTGGAGTGTCTAAATCAAGCTAATTAACGTATGCATTACCTCATATAGTTATTTTTTCATTGTTACCACACATAAAATCTATTCTCTTAACAATTTTCAAGTATACAATATACTGTTATTAACTATAGTCACCATGATGTACAATAGATCCCTTAGTTTTCAATAGCTGTATAATATTGTACCACATGAACATACCATCTATTGTTTAGCCAGTTCCATAGTGTTAGACATTTAAGTTGCTTCTAGTTTTTCTCTCTTGGAAACATTGCTGAAATAAACAGCCTTGTATGTTCCTCTGTGTACAATTATTTGATTATTTCCTTAGGAAGAAAAATCGTACAAGTGGAATGCTTGGCTAAAGGGCAGGTGCATCTTTAAAGCTTCTTATGGATATTACCAAATTGATCTCCAGATAAGCTGTACCAATATGTAATACCAATGTATACTTTTTCTGTATGCCCCCTCCCAGGAGTGCCTATTTCTATCCCTGCCATAGATTACCATACACTTGCACAAAAATGATTTTGGGAGGGACGTCAAGAAAGCAAGCCGAGTTTGGAAAAACTTCTGGTACCCCTTTCATTTTATTTTTTCGTTGCTCCAGTGGGCCAGGAAGAGAAGGAAAGAAGGTACATCTGCTCTTAAGTGAATTCAGGGTGGGGGTGTTGGCTCTCATAAAGGCCTCACCATTGCCCCTCTTCTAAAAGAAGGGGGACCTAGACCTCTAACCCTAGGAAACAAACCACTGCTTTGCACCAAGAGTCATTCTTTCTGCCACACTGCTTTTTTTTTTTTCATCATTCCAAATGGTAACTACCTTTGTCACTACACTGTCCCCACAGTTGCCCAAGAAAGAGGCTGTCAGGGCCTGCAGGGGGTCATACAATCCTCCCTCTTTGTTGACCCACAGCCAAATGTCAGGCAGTGGATGTTGGTCTTTTTTTGTTTTGTTTTTTTATGAGTCTTTTATTACCACTATACCTTAACTGTTCCTTTAGTGACTGCCCATTTCACCCTTCATCATCTCATGCTTGGTTTATTGTAACTTTCTAACAAACGTCCTCCTTTTCAATCTCTACACCGAACCCAATCCCAGCTCTAATCCATCTTGCACATTGCCACCAGGTTACTTTTCCTCTTGTCACAAATGTCCAGTGACTCCCAGAATATGACAGAATAACATTTGAATATCTCAGCTTGCAATTCAGAATCTTCCTTCAACTTTCCTAACCCTAAATTGCCACCTTTATCTCTCACCACTCATCTTATTGCTTCCATTCCAGGCAAACTGGCTTCATTCCTATCACAGGAACAGATATGCCACCTCCATGCCTTCCTTCAATCTATATTTCCCTCCTGGAATGCCCTTCTAAGCTGTCCTTCAGGGCCAAGCTTAAGTGTGCTCTTTCTCATTGAAGCTTTCTCAACAACCTGTGCTTCATTTAATCAGACAGCATATATTAGACATTGAGCATATAATTGGGTACTGTTTCCCTTTGTACATATTTACCTTATCTCTCCAGCTAGATTTTCAATTCAAGAATGAGAACAATTTTTGTCAGTTGAAACATACAACTTTATTGATGATACACAAATGAAGTCTTTGGTGGATAAATTCAAGTCAAAACAATAGAAGAGTAGGCCATTCATAATGGACAGGTTCACTATCAATTCACATAGAGGAACCAGTAAAAATATTTCCACCCAAGCAGCACGATTAAAGTCACAAATGTGTTTTCAGTACAAGAGGACTATTTGGTATTCATAAAATGGTTCAGCTTAAAGCTGGTGACTGTCACAGATAACATCACTCTGGATGATACATTATTCATAACTGGCAGCTGAAAGGATCCCTTTACTATATGAACAAGTGGAAAAGCAGTAACCTTCAATTTTCAATGCTTCCAGACTGCAAAACCAAGAAATTTCTTTGTCTTTTGAAAGCACATATACAATCAGAATTTGTTCACTAGCTTTATAACTTTCACTTTCACCAAGAGGTCATGGTGATTTGCTAAGGCTCGAATTTTCTTAACACACACTCCAGACGTAGTGCATAAGTAAAAAAGGGAACCCTTATTGAATTCTCTGTAGTTGAACACTTCTGCTCTGAGATTGTCATAGATGATCTCAAACAGAGTAAGAGCATTAATAAGAATTTCTGATTCCACATAAGAATTATAGAGGGAACTAAATGATGGTGGCACTTGGGTACTGAGAAGTTTTTTTAGCATATCTGGATTTTCAGCAAAATTCGATAGTATTTTCAAAATCTCAACCTTGATCTTCCCACCTCCCTGAGATAACAAACGGAAAAAGTTTGCAATGGAATTGACAAGCAGGTGCTGGTAGTCATTGGTAATAGTCATGTTTGTTAAAAATTTTAGTCCAACTACCTGTACTGCTGAGTTCAGGTTAGAGGCCATGATATCATCCATCACTTTATTCATGTATACCTGAAGCCGGCCCTGATTTTCATAATTTTCACTCAGGTTATTCATGGCCATTAAGGCTTTTTCCTTAATGTGGGGATCGGTTTTGTTGATCATGTTTGCAATAATTGGGAGCCCTCCCAATTTGCGGATGGTCTCCTGGTTGCATGAGTAATTGGCATTGTTGCTCAGGGTGAGCAAAGCTACCTGCTGGATGAAAGGATCATCCGATTTCTGAAGCAAGGCAAGGACTTTCCTGAGATCTCGGACACCCAGAATCTCATCAATTTCATAAGGAAAGGGACGCTTCTGCACGGGAACAGGTCTTTTTCCCTTTCCTCTGCGCTGGGTCTCAGGCTCAGAGTCTGAATCTGACTCTGTGTCAGTCCACCCGGACTCCCCTTCCTCAGAATCAGGGATCTCTGCCAGGAAAGCCTGTCCCCCATTAGCGGAGGCTGCAGCAGCTGCTGCAGCCCCATCCCCAGGGCGGAAGCCCATCCCCAGTTCGTCTACTTCAACCTTGCTTTTCTTGCCCTTGCCCTTGCCCCCATTCCGGGACTTGGTTCCACCCTTGGCCCCACCTTTGGGTACAGCTCCAGTCGCTGACCCGGCCTTAGGTATAGCTCCGGTGTGAGCCCCAGGGGTCGCTTTCTTGGCGGCTGCCGTTGCAGGAGCTGCCGCTGGTCTAGGGGAGCCTGACGTCCCAGGAGCCTCTGCAGCCCCAGTGGGCGCCGCCGCCCCAGTAGGCGTTGCGGGCACTGGAGCCTCGGCCACCTCGGTAGTAGGCGCTGCCACCCCGGGGGCCTCGGCCGCCTCGGTAGGCGCTACAACCCCAGGGGCCTCCACCACCTCGGTGTGTGCTGCCGCTTCGGGAGGCGTCCCGGAAGGTGTTGCTGCCCCGGGAGCCTCCGCTGTGCTGGGGGTTTCTGCCACTTTGGGAGTCCCTGCTATTGATGGGGACTCTGCAGCCGTGGGAGCCTCTGCCACTCCAGGAGGTGGTGTCATTGCAGAAGCCGCTACAGCCCCGACTACTGATTCGGTCTTGGACCCAACCCCGGCCCCATCTGCCTCCTGGGCCTGACTACTTGTCCCACTCTGAATCTCAGCACTGGATGCAGCTGGGACCACTGCCTCAGCTCCAGCTGTGTCTAGAGCAGGGGCTTCATCCTGGGTCCTATCCTCTGCCCCAGCGAGGACTGGGGTTGGGGGACTGAATCCCGGCCCAAGGTCGATTGTGAATCCGGCCCTTAGCCCAGCTCTAGCCCTGGCTCCAGTCCCAGCCACAGCCCGGTTCTTGGGCTTGGCCTGTCTCTTTTTCGTCTGGTCTCTTCCTCTGGTGTATTTGTAGACACAGTACCAGGCACCAGCACCGATCACTATCCCTGCAGCTACGCAGCCAGCATCCCGAACGCGGCTCATGGTGCAGCTGGGGTGATTCTCTGATCCAGGGTGTGGAACTGGCTTGTCCAAAGCGGGATGCGTGCACGTCCCGGCGAAGGTTTTCAGGTCAGGCTCGCAAGTTCTGCGGAGGCCGCAAGCTGAGCAGGACCTAGGAGTAAAGGATAGAAATAAGGCTTAGGGCTCTGGTTCACTTCGTGTCTAACCAAGCCTACTTCGAGGAGAGTTTGAAGACACAATGCTTGACAGGCGGGCTAGCACCCAGACACAGGTGCCAAGGCCTGCATTTGCTGATTTAGAGACCTGATCTATCGATCGATGTTTTCTATATCTTCAACCTTGGCCTGCCCTACCAATATCAATACCTACAATTCCCCAGCACCTAAATGGGGGGATGAGAGGCAGTATGGAAGGCGGGCAAGCTGGGGGGGTGGGGGGTGGGGAACAGTAGAGACCTCAGATTCTGCTCTGATGCTCCCACCTCCACCACAAGGTCCCTAGATGGTGCTCATGCACATACTAACCTCCTGGGATCAAGAGCAGTTTGGGCGCCTGAACAGAGAGCCGAAAAGGCAGACAGACCTGCGGACAGATCACGGAAAGGGTGTTTTCGAGCCTTTGTTGGACAGATTAGGGTTCCTTTCTTGATTTGAACCCCTGTGGGTCAAAAGTTTCCCCCTCTCAGGGCTCCTCTTTTTCTCTCTATCCTTTCTTCCTCAAACTATTAACTAAGAAGGCGGATGCCACGCCTCTTTCTCTGCACCAGAAAGGACAGGCCGGGGCAACGGTGTCTTTTAGAGAGAGAGAGAAGATGCTGGAGGAGGAGCCTCTGGTCCCAGACTCTGCTCTGGTTTCTGCCACATCCACGCCAGTGGTCCCCAGACAGTTCCCACCCCCAACACTGACCTCCAAGGATTCAGGGCTGTTTTTCTTTCCTTCAGTTCAGTTGGAGCTTCATCCTAAGGACAGATCGAAGGGCAGAAATACAGACTGCAGACGTTGGAGACTGAGAGCCTGGTGGATGGATCAGCATCCAGGACAAGAGTCCCAGTAATTGCCTTTTAGTATTCGCGTACTCTCAATTCCCTCAACTCCTCTCTCCCGTCCCCTCCCACCCCACTCCCCCCTCCCGCGCAGGCTCCCCAGGCACTCAGCCCCTCCTTCCACTCTGTCCCGCCCCCGTCCGCCATTTCTCCGGGACACACCGCCACACCCCTTCTTCTGCACCGAAGCGGGAGGGGGCGGGGCGAGGGTGCAGCGAAAGCTGGATGAGACGCGGCATGGGGGATTCCTGCCAAACAAGCCAGTGTCCCCCTGCC